TGGTCCCTCTGGGCGGGCAACAGAGCCCCACTGGATGTCAGCAAGATAGATTTGTAGTACGGCCTTTCTAACCAGGGACAGATTGTGATCCCTCAGATGTGTACAGGTTTACGGGGATTGTGGGAACTAGGATCGGGAAAATCTCCAGCCAGGCACCATTGTAGCAATGTTAGTCTTGATTGTTTTTTCGTTGTGCCTTGCTTTCCCCAGCCTTTGTAACTACATAATTTAGACTAGTAAGACCTTTTTCGTAACTTCCCTCTTACCTAAATACACCCCATTCGTGCGAAGAGGGCACAAGGGGGAGCCACTGAAATACAGCTCATGGTCGAGCCGTTGCCCAGTACCAAAACACAAATTTAAGAGGGTGTTTAAGTGACATGCCCATAGTTGCGAACGGGGCAGTCTGATTGATGAACTTTGGGGCACACCAACAATTTTTGTTGGGTAAATAACAGATGAAACTAACGGCAAGTGTCAAGCCTAATGTTAGGGCTTGTCAAAGCTCCGGGAGAGCGAAAAATTTGCTTCACTAAAAGCGGTAATCCAACCCAAACCAACATTTTTTTTATAAAATTTTTTCCCCAATAAGAAAGGGTTGGTTGGCTTTTTTTCAGCGTCACACGGTTTTTTGGTGCTGAACGTGATTTCTTCCCAATCATATGCTACAAAATGAGGTGGGTTGTCCAGCTAAATCACCAGGTGTCTCGGTAAATTTTTTTATTTCACTTGATGCCGGTGGAGCATGCAAAGGGTTGAAAACAGTTGGAGATTAAACGGGGGTCAAACGGGAGCTGATCGCATCGATTGAAACATTGCAAGTGTTGGGTATACCAAAACGTGAACTTTGGAAAGAGACAGAGTTACTTATTTTGGAAGAGTTATGGGAGTAAACACACGAAAAATAAGCGAGTTTTGGGGGGACAAAGTTTCTGATGATTTTGTGGTGTAATGGTTTTTAAAACTAATTAAGAATGAGGCATTTTACAACATTTTTGGAAACTTTATTGAGATAACGTTTTCGCCAGCCAGTGGCTTCATCATCCAATACAGAAAAGAGCGGTGGAAGATGGAAGGAGAATGAGTAATTAGTCCCTCTTATCTTTTTCAAACTAAGCGCTACCCCACAAGGGGGAAAGATGAAGAGAAGGGGAATCAGTCCCCCAGCCGGGGCGATGTGGTACTTTTCTCAAGAGTAAAGACTGAACCTTGACTCCATGCTAAGGGACTGAGTTCCCTTTTCCTCACTTCTACGGGTGGGGAAACGTTTCCCCCAAAAAATATTTCCCCAAAATTCACAAGGTCTCGTCTTCATTTTGGGATGGAAAACTCACACATACAACGTTTCAGTCCGGGCCCACTTGGACCTTTTTTTTTTCCAACGCTACAGGTTTATAGCACTGGACCCTTCCCTGGCGAGACGTTCATGAACTGGTTGAAACTATTTGGTGGAGCATGTCACCTCTACTGGTTTTGGAAAAGTTTTAGGTTTTTTAAATTTCCTGTTTCCACTCAGGATTCTAAGCGCTAAGAGCGCAAAATAAAAATTTCTATTTAAATTGATCCTCAGTTTTAAAAAATTTTTTATTCGCTCGAACAGCTGATCAACTTTAAAACATCACTTGATAGCATCAAGAAAATATTACGCAAGAGATCGAGGGCAGATTGAATATTTTAAACACCCTTGCAACCATCCGGGAAGGGA